ACACACAGACATACACACACACACACACACACACACACACACACACACACACACACACACACACACACACGACACGATGTCTCTTCTAACCTTTATGGGCTCCTGCACTCCCATGGTGCACAGATTTTATACTTGGGCACTCACACACACATAATAAAAATATCCAGTGCCTTTCACACAGTTTACAAATGGCGGCTTCCATTGCACGAATCTGCAGATGCTGTGTTAATAACGCTCCCATTAGAGAAATTCTGGCATGTGTATGTGTGGCCATGTGCATGTGGAGGCCTAAGGATGATGTCACGTGTCTTCCTCAACTGCTCTTCATCTTACATACTGAGGAAGACTCTCTTGCTGGCCACAGCTCTTGGTCTCTGCTCATCTGACTAGTCACACTGGGCCTGCGGGCACCCGGGATCGTAGCACCAGTTCTCATGCTCACAGGGAAGGGCTTAACTCACCTATCTATCTCCCCACCCTTTCGATTCGTGCCTAACAAAATAATGATTATACAATACTATGCTATAAAAATAAGCAACACACTAGTACCAAAACCTGCTAAAAACCTTGCATGACAGCACACCTTTGAGACAAACCACAGATAACAGCCCTTCACTCTTCTTCGTTCTTCTACAACCTTGTCAACCTCCTCGTTACTGTATTGTCCTTGCTGCTGTCTGGACAGCGTGCACTGTATGAGGCTGCCCTGAGTGATAGGACTGCAGATATGGTCTTTATTAACTCCTTCAAAAACTTCCTTAGCCCACTTTTAAAACCATAAATGTAATTGAAAATCCTCCTACTTCTTAAATAGAAAAAAATGATGGAGTTAAAATGTGGAATTTTCTTTGAGCTGGGTTATTTATATATTTTACCAACCTCACCATGAATAAAGTTGAGTTCTCTGCTTACTCAAATGGAACATGTGACCAAATCAAACAGTCACAGAAGCCCAAAAAAGAAAGTGACTCAAAGCTTCCAATCATTTTCTGTGGCCACATTCCCCAAAGTTCTCAAGTCGTTCTGTTTAACCACAGGCACCACTCGGAGTGTTGGGCATGCTGTCTCAGGGAGATTAGCCTCGGTTTTCAAATGAAGAAATTAAATGCATGTAACATTCAATTAGCAAGTGGCTAGGATTTGATTGTGGTGAGTCGGACACTACTGCCTCATACAATTTGGAATGAGAAATACAAAGCTTGCTGTGTCTGGCCTTTAGGTAACTAGTTATTAGTCTTTTTCAGAGGAAAATCAGCCAATCCTCAGCTGAAATCCTTTCGGCTGTTTAAACATAGGCACCTTTGACTCTCACAAGTGCCTGTCCAAGCTGAGTCACTGTTTGTAAAGGTAAAATGGGTATTACTAACTGAGGTTAGACCAGAGACTGTAATCTGGTACTTCTCTTTCATGGCTTCAGCCAGTTAATGGCGACATCATCTGTTGTCCAAGGGAGAAAGTGCTGGGCTTCCTTGTGGTGCAGATGACCCCAGTTCACAGTGACATATTTCCTCTGATTCAGGGCCTTGGCAACCCTGCTCTGGCATGTCAGAGCCAGGACACTTGCTCCCTGTGTGAAGGACCCCACCAGATGTTCTTAAACTTAGTGACCACACTTCAGTAATTTTATAACAGAAAAAAAACAGATTATACTAAATGGAAAACTAAAATGTATGCTTTCAGTTATCCTCAGTTAACTAGCAGGAGGGTGTAGTGAGAGTGTGGATAATGTCTTAAAAAGCATAAATGAAAGGAGGATAAGGCTGGGTAAAATTTTGTGAAAAATTGGTTTTATTATGTATGCACATGTGTGTGGCCACACGTGGCATGGCATGCATGTGGAGGTCAGAGGACAGCCACCAAAATCACACTCGGTCATCACCGCCACCTGCTGAGCCACTGGCCGGCTCCTGGCTCCAGTCTGATCACGTAATGTGCACTAAGTGAAAGAGACCAGCCAGGGCACTGGGATCGTCGTCAAGGTTTCCTTATATGACACCTGGCAAGTGCAAACTGTAAACAGGAGAATGGAACCAGGCGTGAGAGTGCGGATCTTCAATCCCAGCACTCAGAAAGGAAGACATGGGAGGATCAAGAGTTCAAGGCTAGCTGAAGACCAGCCAGAGCCACACAGACCCTTTCTTAAAAAACAGAGTCTCACAAAAGCAAGAAAATGGGATGGTTAGGAGAAGGCCAACACAGGGCAAGATGATTACAAGAGAAGACTTCCTCGTGTAAACCAAAATCTTACTGTGTGCCTGGTCTACAGAGCGAGTGCCAGGATAGGCTTCAAAGCCACAGAGAAACCCTGTCTCGAAAAACCAAAAGAAAAAAAAAAAAAAGTTCCAACTTCCCGGCTGCTCTCTCTCCGCACTCTCTCTCCACTCTCTCTCCACTCTCTCCCCACTCTCTCTCCCCACTCTCTCCGCTCTCTCTCCCCACTCTCTCCGCTCTCTCTCCCCACTCTCCGCACTCTCTCCCCACTCTCCCCGCTCTCTCCCCGCACTCTCTCCGCACTCTCTCCCCACTCTCTCCCCGCACTCTCTCGCACTCTCCCCACTCTCTCTCCCCGCACTCTCTCTCCACTCTCTCTCCGCACTCTCCCCGCACTCTCTCTGCCCACTCTCCCCACTCTCTCTCTGCACTCTCTCCCCGCACTCTCTCTCGCACTCTCCGCACTCTCTCTCCACTCTCTCTCCACTCTCTCTCCGCACTCTCCCCGCACTCTCTCTCCGCACTCTCCCCACTCTCTCTCTGCACTCTCTCCCCGCACTCTCTCTGCACTCTCTCCCCGCACTCTCTCTCGCACTCTCCGCACTCTCTCTCCACTCTCTCTCTCCTCTCTCTCCGCACTCACTCTCCGCACTCTCTCTCCGCACTCTCCCCACTCTCTCTCTGCACTCTCTCCCCGCACTCTCTCTGCACTCTCTCTCTGCACTCTCTCTCGCACTCTCCGCACTCTCTCTCCACTCTCTCTCCACTCTCTCTCCGCACTCACTCTCCGCACTCTCTCTCCGCACTCTCCCCGCACTCTCTCCGCACTCTCTCTCTGCACTCTCTCCCCGCACTCTCTCTGCTTCTTCGCTCTGCTCGTCTCTTCTCCCACCTCCACGCTTTCTCTGCCTCTATGGCCACGGGCCATAGCGGTCAGCCATTAACCCTGTTTCTCTTCTCTCAGTCTCCCTACTCTGCCGGGCCCATAATAAACTGGTTAATATGTCTCATCCGCCTCTTTTCCTCTTTTTCTTTATATCTAATTTAAACAAAAACATAACAGCCTGTATGTCTGTCTGTGTAAGGGTGTCAGATCTTGGGGGTACAGACAGTTGTGAGCCACCATGTGGGTGCTGGGAACTGAACCTGGGTCCTCTGGAAGAGCAGCCAGTGCTCTTAATGCTGAACCATCTCTCCAGCCCCTGGTGGTTTGAATGAAAACGGCCCCCATAGGCTCACAGGAAGTGGCATCCTTTTAAGCGATTGGGCTGGATGGCCTTGTTGGAGTGGGTGTGGCTTTGTTGTAGGTGTGGCCTTGTTGAGGAAGTACATCACTAGGAGTGCACTTTGAGGTCTCAGAAGCTTAAGCCTGGGGATCCAGATGGAGAACTCACAGCTACCGTCCAGCACAGGTCTGCCTGCTGCTGCCATGCTTCCTGCCACATAATGGACTGGATCTCTGCACTGTAAGCTGCCCCAGTAAAGTATTTTTCTTTATAAGACTGCCATGGTGTCTCTTCACAGCCTAAGACATTAGTATATTGCACATAACAAAGTTTTAGCAATTAAACTACTGCGATTTTTACTTTATTAAACTATACGTTTAAAAGCCAAAGGTAGGGCAGCCTGTCAGGTGATCCACCTGTAACTCCAGCTCTAGGCTCTCCACACCCTTTTCTGGCCTCTGCCACACACACACACACACATAAAAATAAGAGAAATCCTTAAAAACAAAAGGCTACAGCATTGTTTCTTTTCCTCTAGGGCTGGACAATGAACTCAGCCTTGGGCATGGCAGACAAAATGCTCCACTAGCAAGCATTAGTTCTGGCTTATGATAGCTAGAATTAACAAAAGTATTTTAAAATTTGAACTTGTTTTAGAAAAATTGCAACAGAATAACTAAATTAATTTCACACTAAAAAGTAGGCTGTTTTTGGGGCTGGAGAGATGGCTCAGCGGTTAAGAGCACTGACTCTTCTTCCAGAGGTCCTGAGTTCAGTTCCCAGCAACCACATGGTGGCTCACAACCACCTTGAATGAGACCTGGTGCCCTCTGCTAGCATGCAAGCAGAAGACATAATAAATAAATAAAATCTTAAGGGCTTCACCCCCCCCCGCGCCCTCCCCCACCCCCCGCCCTTGGGGTTTTTTAAGGCAGGGTTTCTTCAGAGATCCACCTGCCTCTACCTTCTGAGTGCTTGAAT